TATAAACATATATCATGCATGTATCTCTCGTTGTGGTTTACATTTAATTTGGAATTAAATGGATATGTTAAAATTTTTGAAATTCCGCCTACAAGTTTGTTGTTGTTCAAATGATTTTTCATTAAAAATCACATCTAGATCCTACAATAAATAGAAGTATTCATAAACCTCGCTTTAACAGAAGTATTCATAAAGAAAATTTTCAAGAAAAATGCTTTCTTTAAAGAACATATTGGGTTATCGAGCAAATCATCCCGACGGGCACCTACGAGCCCAACACAATAGGTCCTTAGGATTTCGAGGATTTGATGTGGGTCCAACGCCCGCATTGATTTAAGAGACTCTGTTTGAGTTTAAATTTCAGTGGCCTAAGAGTTATAATGCCGTTAAGAAGTTTCTAGGCCGAATTGGGCCTTAATATCATAATAAGTCCAATGAGGAAAATTATGGAGAATAAGTTACTAGATTGGGTAAATGATTTTCAATCTAGACATAAGTATGTTAAGGGCAATTAAGGAAAATAAAATTTTGAGAATCTAATAAATTGATCCTTATAGTAAATTATCCTTCAGAAAATGAAAGGAATACCTGCCTTAAGAAAAGGGTTAGATTCCTTCATAAGTTGCTAAAATAGAATAGCAAACGACAGTTAATCTCACACTCTCAATGGGTGTTCATTTTCATAAATAAGCAAGTAAGAGAATAGACTGTTTGGCGAAAAGTGGATTCCAGCTCTGTAAATCAGGTAAGTAGGAATCTCGCCTACAACATGAATAGATTTTAAAGAAAAAAAAATTACACATGTTATATATATACATGTTTATGCTTTAAGTATTGTATGCGATGTCATGTCATGCTGCATACACCTTAATAAGTCAAGAGGAACTTATAAGAATAATCTCAATTGACTGTCGTACCAGCCTCCGACCTAAGGGAGGTAACTCAAGCTCCACAAGGGAGAAAAGAAAAAAAAATAATGTCCTCCGACTTAAGAGAGGCATTCAAGTTATAATCACGTTGTCGCGGGGGACCTTGCAAACCCTCACGTCCCGATGATTGCACGCAAGTGGTACGCGAGCACTCGGGCCCATCAGTAAGAAAGATAAGATAAGATAATAAGACTATGATAAGACATCATAATTAAGCATAATCAGCTCATGCATATTTATTCATGTGTACTTACAGTTATTTTGTGAGATATAGTTCCTACTTGCTGAGCGAAAGCTCAATCAGATATGTTCACACTGTAGGTAAGAAACCTATCAGCAATTCTTGAAGGGCAATGGCGAGCGGCGGGCGAATGGGGGGGATGGGAATGGATACCGCTCACGCAGTTATCTTCCGCAGTAAGTTTAAGAAAAATCGTGTATATGTCTATATGATTCAAAGGTTTCAAGCATGTATTGTTTAAAAGGTATACGTACATATGTATGTTAAGAAAACCGAGGTTGTAGCTAACAACCCTAGTTTTGAGTATTTAAGTTTTAGAACGTTGCAACAGTGCATGCAACAAATAAATGAATTTTAAACATGACGATTTAAATGATTGATTTTAAAAAGACTTTAAGATGTGCTTGAATTTAAGTTTTCTCACGAAATCCATTTTAAAGTCAAATGAGATGGCCCGATTGAAGTGGGTAGTGTTAGAAAGGCTTTTAAAGAGTATTTGAAACAAGAGTTCAAACGCTGCTCCGTTTGAAGGATATTTCTAGAAAGTCTTATCTTAACTAAAATAAAAAAAAAAAACTTTAAGAAATTTAGTTATTCATTCTTTTGAAATTATTGTTATGAACTATGAAAGTATTTCTTCTTATATATAAAAAAAAAAATGTTCCGCAAATTTTAAGAAACTCCAATAAGTACAAGTTAAAAAGTAAGCTACGGTGGCGGCCTCATAGGAGGGTCGTCACATCAACACACCTGTATTGAACATGAGGACTAAATCCATGTTATAACGAGATTGCTCCACAAACATCAACCTTCTATCAACTAAACAAAAACTAACAAATGTTATACAAAATACTAACACTAAGGCATTTTACCTTGAGAAAATAAACAACTACTAAGCCTAAAAGTATGCTAAATAACTCTATTTTATCGAGTTATCAGCTTAATGTTAAACAAAGTTTTAAATTTTTATTTTTATTGCTTTGGAACTTTGGTTTATGGTGGTTTTAATTTGAAGAATACTTAAGATCTTTTTTTTTTTTTTAAGTTTATTTTACGGTATGGATTTTAATAAATGAGTTGAACCTATAGATTATTTTTCTTTGATGAGGTTTAAAATTTTTAAAGTTCTAATATGAAAAAAAAAATTTATGATTTCTTCAAGTTATTCAAAGTAAAGTACTTTAAGCTTAACTATTTTTCGTATTTTTTTAAAAGTAAATGTATAAAAATTAAGATAACTGTGACGGCCCGTGAGGGGCCGTTACTGGGAAAAACGAGAAGAAAATTATAGCTTTGGGCTAAGGATCAAAATTGCAAAAAGATAAAGTTGGAACAAGTAGTTTTAGCAAGGGTGGACACGCGATACGATGATCCATTTGTAGTAAACCTCAGAATAATGAGTATTGATTGATGTAGGTAGTAGTGCGGACGTGGTAAATGATTCGAGGGATGTAGGATCAAACCACAATGTTCTCTCACCCTAGAAGTGGAGGCGACTAGGAAAAAGATGACTCTACAACGTGCCATGAGATTCCCATTAGCTGACGAGACAAAAACAATTGATATTTTTCATTGACAAAAACAATTGAAACCACCTAAAAGAGAAAGAAAGACAAGTCTTAATTCAATTCCTAACGAACAACAAAAAATCCTTTGCTTGGAGTCATGAAGACATAGTGGGAATGGATCCAGAGGAGGCAGTATGTTGCACCGAACCAACCAAAAACCCATTTATATTTTTCATTGGAGTTTAGAGTTTTGGTGAGGATTTGAGATGGAAAAGAAATCGAGACCACTAGGTTTATATCAATATTGCTATCTTGAAGCCCGCTTCGACAACCAAAATAATCTATCAGGAATAAAGTATCCATCTTTACAATCAAGAATGTGAAAATATATAGTACATATTAATACATAAAAAAAAAAAAAATTTAGTGAATTAAAATGTCATTAGACATTTAGTCTAGTACTAATTCTAACATTTATAGCTTCTCAAAATCATCATGAAAAACGATTTGATTATATGACAACCACTTTTAGAATATTTTACCCAACAGATTGTCAAACAACCTAACAAAAAAAAAATACCAAACATCATTTGTTACTAAAATTCTCTAATAACCATCATTTTTAGGAGATGTAAATATTTTTTCACGTTCAGGAAAAAAAAAGGAAGAATATAAATAGAATATAGTGTTGATACAAAAAGTCTGACAATTTGTCTATAGTAATATATATCTATATATATATATATATACCCGTATTCCAATTTCAAATTAAAACTACAAACAAATCTCATCCATCTGCTTATTACACTTGATTTACTTTTATGAAAATTTAAACAATGAGAACACTAGAAACGAAGACAAATATATAACTTTTTTAGCTTCTCTGCAGGCTTTAAAAAACATGCTTGTTCCATCCCCGGGGAAGAATTCTCTTAAACGGTGTAGTGCTGTTGAATGGTATCAATGTCCAGCCCCTTCAACTTCACCACAGATTCAACGTGGCCCTTCAAGGTATGGAGCTCTCTAAGCCTACATAACCAAATATAAGTTTATGTTAAATTTGGTCCTAGAAAAAACAAGATTTGATTTTTTTTTTCTTCAGAAAAAATAAAACTTATAGTAATGTATATTCACTTTTTTAGTAAGCTTAAATGCGTAATAATGGTTTTTTTTTTTTTTTCTTTTTTTCTCAGTTTACCTAGCGACTTCAGCACGCCTCTTGGCCTGCTCGGCAATATCAGTGGACTCATGGTTGTTCTTATCGTTGAAAAGCGCTCGGGGTGATTGGAGACCGTGAAGTGTTCGTTGAGCCATGGCCCATTGTGCCTCCCTTTCTCCTCTCCCATAATCCTTCTTTGTGGTGAATGCAGTCTTGATTTTGTAGCAAAACATACAAACAATCAACATAGAGAACCAAAAAAAAAAAAAAAAAAAAAAAAAAAAAAATTTTTGGGGGGAAAAAAACTGGTATAAAAAAAAAAAAAAAAAAAAGAAACATAAATATTTGTGTGGATAAAGACTGTCATATAAAAAAAAAAATAAATAAATGAAAAGAAGATGAACCTTGTTTTGGAGCAAGGTATCCCAAGCCTTGCCACTCAAAGCGTATCGGATGATGAACTTGAGGGCATCAAGAGGGATGTAAGTGATTAAACTGTAAATCCATATCACACCGGCCCATCCCCAACCAATGCCATGGATTCTGGCAAATTCCCAGTTTGCATACACAGCAATTACGGTAGCCACCTGTTTGTATAAGTAGAAAATTTAGCTAACATGGCATAATTGTCATGTACAAAAGAAGAGATAAGAAATGGCAGCAAGAGACAAGTTTAGTTTAAAAGATACAGACCAGTTGTGCTGCGATGAAGGCAAAAACAAGCAAGAATCCGGGCCGTTCAACAAAAGACCAGCTTCTTGATCTGGTTACAAAGATGAGTGATTGACTAATAATGCTCACTTGAAGGTAAAGAGCCGAGTTAAGTTCAGCTAAGTTCCCCTTGATTGGCTTCACGCCGAAAGTTTGCTGCAAAATGTTAAAATTTTTAGTACTTGCTCTATTGATGTGTTAATGAGATTTTCCAACTAGTATATTTGGATCGATTGGCTTACTGAAAAAGAGTCACTGTCATGTGCAAGCCAAAAGAAGACCACAGTCATGATAGCCATGTAGGCTCCAAGGACAATACCAGTGGCAAAGATTTCCTTGAGCTTCCATGAGTCAGGCAAAGGAGATGGCTTCACCCTATCCTTAGAAATGGTCATGATGGTTCCATCGTTCAAGATGGCGATGATCAGAACCATGAAGGGAGAGAAGTCAAATTCCCAAATGAGAGCAACAAGCATGAATCCCAACACGATACGGATTGTGATGGAAACGGCATAGATCGTGTAGTTCTTCATTCTTTGGAAAATGGCCCTGCTTGTCAACACAGCGCTGATGATAACACTCAAACCTGGCTCTGTCAAGACAATGTCAGAAGCACTTCTGGCTGCATCAGTTGCATCAGCCACTGCAATACCGATATCTGCCTTCTTAAGTGCTGGCGCATCATTGACACCATCTCCGGTCATACCACAAATATGTTTCCTCTCCTGTAGCTTTTTCACAATTTCATACTTGTGCTCTACATGAAACCAAATATGAATTAGCTAACACCAATCAAAATGTAGTACTTTTTATTCTCTTTTTGGTTAGGTGACAATATTCTTACCGGGGAAGACTCCAGCAAATCCATCAGCCTTCTCAATGAGCTCATCAACCGCAATGCCAGTAGTGGAGTCATCTTTGTTTTGGCCAAGGAGAGAAGACGAGGGATACATGTTGGTTCCCATGCCAAGCCTACGACCAGTCTCTTTTCCAATAGCAAGCTGATCACCAGTGATCATCTTAACGTTGACACCAAGTTCGAGAGCTCGACGAATAGTTTCCGCGCTATCATGTCTTGGAGGATCAAAGAGGGGTAAGAGACCCACAAACTCCCATGGACTTCCAGCGCTCTCCTTAGTCTTCTCTGGAATGGTCTAGAATTTCAAGGAGAGTAGAATTCAATCAATTTGATAAAAAAGAATGTCTCACCTAAGATAATGGAAACCATTTAGTAACTCTTTTTTTTTTCGCTCGTATTTTACCTGTTGAGCAACTGCCAACGAACGTAGGCCTCGTTCAGCATAGTTGTCAATAATAGCATGAGCCTTGGTTCTCTTTTCTCCCTTAAGGTCGCAAAGGTCAATGATCTAATTCACAAGTGAAGTAATTATGGTAATTTCATTAGAGATTTGAGAGTCAAATGGTTAAAATACCAGATATCCGTGTAAGAGGACTATTTTACTTGCTCAGGAGCACCCTTGCTGCATCTGTGCCAGTCTCCATTGTTGTCAGTGTAGGTGATTGCAGTGCGCTTATCCACGGGATTGAAAGGCAAGAAATGGATTTCAGTGATTCCCGCTCTTGCCTACCAATAAATAAATAAATCAGAAAAAACAGCAAGCAAAACAAAGACTAGATGTTTAAATTGCTATAAATTTCTGGCTAAGAAGCAGATAAAATGGTATGTTTTTTGAAAAGAAAATTCTTTTTAACCTCTTTGGGGTCACTTAGCATCCCAACAATTGAAGCATCAATGGCATCTTGATTTTCAACCCTAGATGCTCTAGCGGCAAGCACGATAAGAGTATCCTTATCTGCGTCCTTTGAGAAGACCTGAATTTATGAATGCACACATCATAAGTAGAAAATACTGTTGTTAGATTTGCCATTGTTCTCATTTGTAAATGATTGTTTTGCATGCAGTTAGCTAGCCATTTCACCTCAATAAGGGACTTGTCTACAGTAAGCTTGTTGAGAGTAAGGGTTCCGGTCTTGTCGCTGCAAAGGACATCCATTCCTGCCATCTCCTCAATGGCTGTCATCCTCTTGGTGATGGCGCCTTGCTCCGACAGGCGGTGAGATCCAATAGCCATCGTCACAGACAAGACTGTTGGCATGGCAATTGGAATACCACCAATGAGGAGCACCAAAAGATTGTCAATGCCTTCTCTGTATGCCCTGTGTTGAATCGGGTACATCACAATGATCTCAATCACCATTCCCAATGCGATAGAGCAGATACAGAAGTTGCCAATAGCAGTCAACACCTGTTTAAATAATTCATAATCATCCACGTGATGCTGAATGGCTCAAAAATAGATCAAAGACGTGACATGAATGTGGTTAAATATGACAAAACGGACTACATCTAACCTTTTGAAAGTGACCAACTTGGTTGGTGCTATCTACAAGGTGAGCAGCCTTTCCAAAGAAGGTGTGGACACCAGTGGCAATCACTACAGCCTCAATCTCACCTTGCTTGCAGGTGGAACCGGAAAACACCTCATCCCCGGGATTCTTGGTGACGGGAAGAGACTCTCCGGTTAGAGCAGATTGATCAATCTTAAGCAGATCACCCTCTAAGAGACGGGAATCAGCAGGGACAATATCTCCCAACTTGATGCTGATCACGTCTCCTGGTACCAAAATCGCAGCCTCTTGCTCACTCCACTTTCCATCCCTCAAAACCTTCATGTTTGGTTACATACAAAACACTTAGTACAAAGCTTTAGTTATATACAATACTAATATCTTCAATTAATAATTATTTTACCTTAGTCTTGGGGGCGAGACCGGCCATCAGAGCGGCTGCGGCGTTGCCAGCGTTGTTTTCCTCAATAAAACTGATAGTTGAGTTGATAATAAGCAGAACAACGATACCAACAAAGTCTTGCCAATCCGGTGGCTTGCCCTGCATTCAGTGGCAGAGCCAAAAAGTATTTTCAGTGAATGCATTGTATAAGAAAAAAAAAATAATAGAGATAATTCTTTATTGAATGGGGACATAATTATATATTTCAACTGAGTAGGAGTAATTTTACAATTTTTTTTACAAAATGGGACACAACTCAAATTAGTGAGGGCACAACTAAAACTTTTAAAAAATTATAAATAAAAACTAAAATTGTAAATGTGTGTGGGGACACGTTTTAGAATGTAGCTATTCCACTGCCTGCATTGTAAGTTACTGAGCGAGAGTGAAACAGAAAGAAACAGAAGAAAGATAAGTAATTATAATTACCCCTCCATTGGCCAAAACAATGGCCATAATGGCAGCACATTCCATAACCCATGACAGAGGATTCCACATAAATCCCAAGAACTTGAGAAACTTGCTCTCCTTTTTCTCCTCAAGCTTGTTTGGGCCAAAGATTTGAAGACGCTTCTCCCCTTCATCTTTTGTCAAACCCTCTCTTGTACATTTCAGCTGCTCAAATACTTCCTCAATGGGAATGCGTTCCTATAAGGCACACACTATTTCAAACACCGCATCTAATATGACAATTAGCATATAGAGATATGGAAAAAGCTTTTGCTTTTTATAGGCTCATGTGTTGGTGGCGTCAGATGCATTTTGAATTCCAACATGATCATTCTAGATAAAGACGTCCTGAACAAACCATTTAGAACTGGAATAGTTGAAAATATATATACATATATATGGAAACAAGACTAAATAAAACCCCACCAAAACAAACAAAAAAAAAAAAACAAAACAAAACAAAACAAAAAAAAAAAAAAAAAACAAAACAAAACAAAACAAAAAAAACAAAGAACAAAAGTAAAGAAAAGAAAACCATGCTAAGACCTTGCTTCTACTTATATGCACAGGCCTCTCACCTCTGACTTCTGAATCCTGGTGTTGTATGAGGGCTTTTGTGGCCTTTCTTCACTTTTTCTATCCTTACATATAATATTAGGCGTTGTTTTTTTCACAACTCAAAACTTTTTGCTATATTGTTCTTTTGTAAAAATTTAAGTTTAAAACTTTTTCTTACAGTATTTTGTTTCACATAAAAAGGTTTGAGTTGTGAAAAGAACACACCTACGCATTGATGCATGCTTGTATTTGCTTTGTCTTTTTCTTTTATTTATTTATTTTGGCAAGCGATTTTCCATGCAAGTGTTAGTGTGTCAACGTTATGCAATATAATTTAGGAAAAAAAAAAGTTCTACAACATATGGTTTGGATCATTGGAGAAGAAAAAAGAGTCACATGACAAAATAAAAATAAATAAAAAATTAGAGAAGGAAAAACACCTATTGTATAAGTTGATGGTGCGGGTCTCTTTTTTTTTTTTTTTGTTTCAATTTATCGTTTTATATTTGTGGCATGTTTTAGGCTTAGTGATTGATTAATTTTTCAGTTTATTCTGATAATTATACAACGTTATCAAGAAATTAAAAAACATTTATATGTTAACAAAGTTATTCTTTAGCTTCCAGAAAATCAAAAGCAAAATTACAGTTTAGTTAACATATTTAGTTGACATATGTTTTTCAAATTATTAAAACGAATATATATATATATATATATATATATGTCTGTGTGTGTGTGTGTGTGTCTTTAACAGTTTAACGATATGCCAAGGAAAAACAAATACAATACTAAAGTCAATAAAAATAAAATTAATTGTATTAATAAATGAAATAATTTCTTTTTTTGAAGAATTTGAACGTAACTCACCTAAAAGTTAGTAGTCCATTTAGTTTGAATAGAAAGTGTGGTTTAAAGTATCATCTAAAATAATTAACAATTCGTAGTTCTGAAAAATTTACGTGTTTCCAACTTCCATGAAAACATGCAAACACCATTTTAGAATCGTCGTTATAAGAGACAATGTCATATTAGGACACCAAACAATCTTCCATAAAGGACTGAAAACAATATATATGTATGTATGTATATAAATATGAACATGTTATATAGGATTATTGATCCCAAATCTTACAAGATCAACATTCTCGTTCTTGACATCTTCTAAGGAGATTTCAGCCATGATGATAGAAAGGATATGAAACCCAAGAAGAAGAACAAGTACTATAAATAAAATCGTTAAGCCAGAAAGGCTCCTCCTCTAAGCCTCGTCTTGGGCGACAGAGGAAGAGAGAGGAGAGATACGGCAAACGAAGACGCAGCAGCCTCTCTGGCTCTTGAGTTTTGTTGATATATAATGCAAAGCCAGCTAAGGGGAAGGGCATTAAGACAATTGCCTAAAGGCCCCCCTTAAGTCAAGGCCCTTTTGTTTAGGATCACTAATTAATGAGAAAAACAGGGAAATGCCACGAAAAGAGTGCTAAATATAGACTTTTTATTACAAACTCTTATTACATGCTACGTTTTACTTTTAACACGTGTCGCTTTAATTTTCTCAAACAACTCACTAATAACAAACTCTTCTTTCGTTGCTCAAAAAGAAAAAAAAAAAAAATTTTTTTTTTTTTTGAGGAAAACTGTGAATATTATTACGCTTAACAAGGATGTTTTACGAGACTTTAACTCATTTGGCGTTTTCCTTTTGGAACCTTCGGATAGACTAAATAAAAAGTATTTTTAAATAAATAAATCATAAAAAAATAAATTAGGTAAATAGACCAACATCTACATAAGTCATTCTACGTTAGCAAGTATGTTTTTAGGGGTTTTTTTCTCATCCTCCTCTTCCATTTTCTGTTATTTTCTTCTCCCAACCGCCTTTCATTTCTTCTCTCTTCTTCTCAAGTCCTCGTCGTTGCACAACCTCACTAACATTATTATCTTGCCCATTCAGAGCTTCTTTCTCGTCCAAAAACGATGTTTGAATAAGAGTTACTAAGTAAGTCCTTTTTCAATATCTCTCATGGTATTTTTTCTTGTTATTCATATGTTTTTAAGATGAGAATGCAGTTAAAAATGTTTAAAAAAATCATTAAAATAGTAATTTTAGATTGTAAAAGACGGGTTTACATTGTCTGATATGAAGAAGATTTGCTGGCTTTAGAAAAAAATGGGACTGAATCTTAACAGACCATCTTTTGCATGGTCTGTTCTTGTTCTGTTCATGGTCTGTTCTTAGTCTGTTCGTGGTCTGTTCATATTATATTGTATGTTCTTGGTCTGTTCGTGGTTTATTTTTTGTCTGTTCTTGGTATGTTCATATTCTAATGGTCTGTTCGTGGTCTGTTCTCATTATAATGGTATGTTCGGTTTGGTTTAATTACATATTATTATCTTGATTAAATTTTTACAGTTTTAAATCTAAATAATGGCTCAGTGGAGGATTTTTTTTTTTTTGACATTAGAGGAAAATGGGATGAGAATGAAAGTTGTTGGGTGCGGTATTCAGACTGTAATTTGATTGGCATACATATTGATGAGAATGATACTCTTGAAACCTTCATTGATAAGATTTATAGAAAATGGAGAATTGATGGACAAAAACATTCCTTGAATTTATCGTGGGTACCAATTTGAAACATAAATCATTGCCCGTTGTAATAAAAGACAATCATGATTTGTTATTTTTCAAGGATATAGCCCACGAGGTACCGCTATACGTGATAGTGGATTCAAATATGTAGGCAATATGGACACTATCAGAAGAAATGTAAAATGCACTGATGTACTCATGAAAAAAATAATATTGTTTTTGATAATTGAAATATTATTATTGGCGTGGCAATATTTTTAAACTTATTCTATTCAACAGGTTATTTTGGCTTTGAGGAAGCTTATAATTATGGAGAAATGCTGCCCAAATTTTTAGAACAAAATGACCAGACTAAGAACAGAATAACTAGACCACAAATAGACCAAGAACAGAACAACCGATCAACGATCAGAACTAGAACATACGCAAACAGACCACGAACCAACCACACTTGACAAAGAATAGACCATGATAATTTTATTGATTTTTTAGAAAGCTTCATATATGTCCCAAACAATGGAGAAATATCCCATTTATAAAAGAGAAAAAAATTATTAAAAAATAAAAAAACCCATCAATTTATAAAAATGTATAATTAAACGTGATATAAAACAAGACTAGACCACTAACAGAATAACCAGACTAAGAACAGAATGACCATACCACAAACAGACCAAGAATAGAACAAAGAACATAATGACCAAACCACAAACAGACCAAGAACAGAACAACCGATCAACGATCAGAACTAGAACAGACCACAAATAGACCAAGAACAGACTACGAACCGACCAGACTTGACTAAGAATAGACCATGATGATTTTGTTGATTTTTTAGAAAGCTTCATACATGTTCCAAACAATAGAGAAATATCTCATTTATAAAAGAGAAAAAAAAAACGATATTAAAAAATGAAAACAAAAATGAAAACAAACCATCAATGTATAATTAAACATGATGTAAAACAAGACCAAACCACTAACAGAATGACCAAACCAAGAACAGACCAACTGATCCACTTCAGAATAAGAACCGACCACACTTGAAAAAATAGACCAAGAATAGACCAAAACAGACCAAGAATAGACCAAGAACAGACGAACCAAACCATGAACATGCCAAGAACAGACGATGAACAGACCAAGAACAGACCAAGAATAGATCAAGAACAGACCAGAACAGACCAAGAATAGATCAAGAACAGACCAGAACAGACTAAGAACAGACTAACCTGTTGGGAATGTTGTCCTAGAAGCATGAGATGTAATAGGATATTTATCATTTATTTAATAAAAGAGTTTATTCATCATTTTATGTGCATATATTTATAAATATTTTATTAATATCAAATACAAATTTCGTGATTTTTTATGTAACCTTAAACATTGTATATAAGTGTTATATACGAGAGGATAATGTTTAAGGATAATAATCAAAAACGTTGTTTATAATGAATTTAATTAAAGTTCGGAATCTTTAATTAAAACATTATTAATACATGTCATTCCCATTTAGAATGGAATGGTGCTATCCGCACTGTTAATATGGTGAGATATTGAATGAGTGTATTTCGCATAATGAGATTGTGTGGAACAGGGACACAGACACAATATGAATTTCTAATAATTTCCGTTAAACATAGAAATTCTAATTGAGTCTACCGATGGTCATATATAGAATGATCTTAATCCCAAGTTCTTAACAAACTCCTATTTATAGATTTGTGTCTTTTGATTTACTCGGTACGGATTTCGAGACCCTGAATCCTATTCCTTGTATTTTGAAGACATGATAAAATAGGTAGCCGGGAATGTTATTATACGAGATGGAATCCATTCTTTCTTGAGAAAGAAGTAGATAAATAATTCTCTTGAGTGTTGATTCGGTACTTGGATTAGTAAGAGCGCTCTGGTTCATGAATGTGTTTTATGAATCACTATCCATTAGAGAATTAATGGTACTCAAGGATGAAGATATAATTAGAGAGGTTAGCGGATTCTACCTGACTCTAATTATGAATTATTTATGGAGGATTGATCTATATGCAATGACTATATCAAATGGACACTTCACAGTTTAGAAGTAATTAATGTCTATAATTTCGAGAGTTCAATTCCAAGTTTATAGATGAGTAACTATTGGAATTAATAGAATTAATTAATTAATTAAGTGTTTAATTAATTATTAATTTTATTGGAGCTTGGGATTATAGGTCCATTAGTCCCCGCATCGTCCTTGTAATTCTGCCATAAACAAAGGGTAAAATGCGATTTTTAGAATTACGGAATTCTAAAAATTAAATGCTTGAAAATAATTAATTGAAAATTAATTATTATTTAAATAATGTGATTATTTAAATTTGAATTTAAATTATGAACATAATTTAAATTTATCATTTTAAACTTATTTGATAAGTTGTTCAATTTAGAATTCAAATTAATTTAAGTTTGACTTAAATTCAAATTTGAATTTGAATTAAAATTGGACTACAGGATAAAGGATGATTTTTTCTTCCTTTCCTATCTGGAAATGGCGCCACACACAGGGATAAGAAACCCTACACTTGGCCAGCCACATTAGGGATAAGGGAGAGGAGATTTTTTGTTCCAAATTCAAATAGGAGATAGAGATTTGATTCCTTCTAGAAATTTGACTTCTACTCTATAAATAAGATATGATAAAAAATTGCGCGTGACAATTTTTAACCTAATTCTTAAGGGGGCTGGCCGAATTCCCAAAAATAGAGAGAAGGAAAAAATTTTCTCCCAAAAATTCCACATCGTGCATGTGTTGGTGTTTGTGGAAATTTGAGTGTTTGTTCCAACCTGATTTTGTCTCAAGTGTGCCCACACACACGTCTATGTAGATTCAAGGAATTGACGTGGAAGACTTTAGTTTTCTAAACACAAGGCTTTGGAGCAAAGATCGTTCGAGGTCAAAGAACTCAAGTTATCAACCGAGTCGGCCTCCAGGTATTTTTCCTAATTGAGTTCTTAATATATAAATTAATATGATTAATTTATTCATGCATAAATTAATATAATCTATAGAGTATCTTAAAAGTTTTGTGAAAATTTTTGTTATACTTGATCCGCCTCCACCACGCTTCCGCATCCGAATTCGATTCGGTAACCAACATAACCATACCATGAACAAACCATGAACACACAAGACAAATTAATATTTAATAATTTTTTTTCACTTTTATAAATTTTAGATTATTGATTTACTGACATTGATGTATATCATTGATCTTGAATTGAACACTAACTAATTTTTACAACGTTAGTTAATTATATTTATCACAATATAACCTTGTATTATACACGATGTCTTACATAATATGTAGAATTATGTTTTTACTTCTTATTTATTACATTTAATTAAACACTTTTTATAAATTTATTATATTGTTTCATCAATATATCGATAAAGTCATGTCTTAACACTGAAAAAATAAAAAATATATATTAAAAGGATTTTTTTTAAAGTTTGTTTTAGGTCTGTTCTTAGTCTGGTTAGTCTATTATGGTCTGTTCTTGGTCTATTCTTCTCAAAGTGTGGTCGGATCTTATTCTAATCGTTGATCGGTTGTTCTATTCTTGGTATGTTCTAGTTATTTTGTTCTCGGTCTGTTCTAGTCTTTCTTGGTCTTTTCTTGGTCTATTCTTCTCAAAGTGTGGTTGGTTTTAGCTAGGATCGTGTATCAGTTG